AAAATTAAACGTTTTACAATAGAAAAAAAACTTCTACTATTTATACTATTCTTAAAATAAACTCAAATGAACCTCCACCACCCATTTCCTACTTTTGCGCCTGTTTGAAGATGTCTTTCGCTGCTGCCCGGTCTCGCCATAATTTGCGCATCATATTTGACAACATCTTGCTCCAATTTGCGGCACACCTGTACAAAGCAACAATCAAACAAATAATACTTGTGCGTAATAATACTAAAATAATATGTATATATATATATATATATATATATATATATATATATATATATATATATATTACGTAATATGTTTTCTATATATATTATGTATTATATATATTATATATTATATATAAAAATAACTAATTATTATATAATATTAAATAACTAATGCAAAATTATTATAAAGATGTATCTAAAATATGAGTGTAAAATATGCCTATCATGTCTGGACATGATTTCGGGTTCCACAAAATACTCCCGGACCAATCTATTACAAAAGAGTTAGCGGGGGTAGGGGTACCCGCCACCTACCCGCTGCCCCAATAAGGACTACCCGCCGGGCAACCGCTGCCCAATGTTGCGCCGCCGGCGGGTGGAGATCACCCGCCGGCCACCCGCTGGAATTCTATGTGGAAGTTGGTGGTTTTCCCCGTGCCCCGTGGTGTCCCCTTTGGACCTCGTTTGTCGTGCATGTATCTAGTTTGATGTTCCGGGTACCGTTCATAGGATGGAAGAGTCTTATGTATTGCATGCTAGGCGAACTGGTATCCCGTTGGCCTAGGTGAAAGATGTATGAACCCCGTAGGCATATTCCTAGTAAGGTGGTTGACCACGCATAAGTTTTATATACATGTTTTCCCCCTCCCTACGTGCTAATGTGGGTTGCATGTGCTTGGCTATGTGTTATGTGTGCATGATACCCCAATTAATTGCGATCAATTGGCTATACGGACAGTTGGATGGGTTGTGAACCATCGGCTGTTAACCAGGCCGGTTGCGATCGGTCAGGTATATAAATATATATATAGGGCTGTGGTCCACCGTTTGGTTGCGATCAAACGTTATAAATGAGCTGTGGTTCATCAATCTGGTTGCGATAAGATATACACATACTACTCGGGCTGCGGTCCACCGTTTGGTTGCGATCAAACGTTACTATATGAGCTGTGGTTCATCGATTGGTTGCGATCAATCCCCTTGTGTTGCGGTACAAGGCAGGGTGCTTCGGGACCGTGTCAGAGCTATATGCGCTGACCCTCATGTATGGGCATGCGATTGGTCCTGCAGTACCACCAAAGTGTGTTTACGTGTTGAGATAATGATTGGATATTGATGTGCTTGATAAGCTTATGACCTTAGGGTGTATGCTAATATCTTTACATGCATGATTATAACTGATGAATGTGCTTACCGTTATGTGTTGAGTCTATTCTCGGTTTTAAATTAGAGTCTCATAAGTGTATATATCTTCCGGCTTCAAAATGGTTTGCCTTATATATATATATATATATATATATATATATATATATATATTGTATTTTAACGCGTTGGAGTGGGTTACCAGCATTATTCGCTGAACAGATATATTTGGCTTTCAGGCACAGATGAGTAGCTCCGGAGCGCGCTAGAGGACCCGAAGCTTAGTTAGTTAGTTTCCTTATCTGCCTGCGTGTCATGATGATGTATTGACACTGTTTGAGGATATTTAGATAGTATAGCCTGTGCATCTGAGTTCTCCAGCTCAGATGTGGCATAGCACCCCAAACGCTTATGTTTAGTTATGCTCTGTTTCGGGTTTAATGATAGTATTGCCTTTATTTCATAAGCATTCAAAGTTTTAAATTTTAGGGGTGTTACATCCTCGACCGCAACCTGCAGGCCTACGTCGACGACATTATTGTCAAGTGTATCGAGGCCGACCTCTACATGGACAACCTGACTGAGGTATTTTCGATATTGCAACGTTTCAATTTAAGGTTGAACCCCAAGAACTTCACCTTCGGGGTGCATGGGGGGGAGTTTTTGGGGTGCATGGTCTCAAGGCGGGGCATTGAGTCCAACCCCGACAAGGTCAAGGCCATCATGGACATGGAACCTCCGAGGTCCCTCCGGGAGGTCCAGCGCCTCAATGGACGGTTGGCAGCCCTGCGTCGCTTCCTTTCGAGGTCGGCCGAAAAATCTCTACCATTTTTTGGAATTCTCAAGAAGACTAAGGGATTCGAATGGTCCGAAGAGTGCGAGAAGGCATTCGAAGACCTCAAGGCATACCTGATGTCGCTTCCCCTAGCCAAACCCGTCAGGGGAGAGGTCTTATTTTTATACCTTGGCATCTCGTAGGCCGCGGTCAGCTCCGTGCTGGTCCGGGACAACATGGGAGTCTAGCGACCCGTCTACTATACGAGCCGAGCTCTACGAGGGGCGGAAATCAAGTACACACCCGTTGAGAAGGCCATTTTCGCAGTAGATGTCACAACCAAGAAGCTTGGCCACTACTTCCAGGCTCACCCCGTGCAGGTCCTGAGTAACCAGCCGCTGGACGCGGTATTAAGGGCCTCAAGGTCGGCCAGCAGACTGGTCAGGTGGGCCATGCGATTGAGTCAGTTCGACATCTAGTTCAAGCCCAGACCCGCTATTAAGGGGCAGGGACTGGCTGACTTTATAGTCGAGTGCACGGCCCGGGAGGCCACGGAGCGGGTCCGAGATGAAGACGAAGACGAAGAATGGTGGATCCTGTCAACGGACGGTTCCTCCAGCACCAAGGGCTGCGGAGGAGGGGTCGTCCTCATAACGCCGGAAGGGTTCCGAGCCTACTACGCCCTCCGCTTCACATTCAAGGGCTGCGGAGGAGGGCGCGGTCAGCGCGGAGATCTAACATCCCGCGATTTTAGGGGGTGGGGGGGGGGGGGTGGGGGTTGAGGGGTTTTTACCTGTATAAAAGCCCTTCCCTTCGTCTTGTAAGGACACCTGATCATTATCTTAGACACTTTGTCCTAAACTATCTTTGTAATAGCCCGACTATTTTTATAATACAACCTACGGTCTCTACGGCCTTATGACATCATATTATTTATCTATTTATTTGTTATTTACATTCTTATCCGGATTTAGTGATTCGGGTCCACCTCGGGTAATTAAATCCATCAGTTAGTTCTTTTATTTAAGAATTGAATAAATATTAATGCCAATATATCATGCTATAATACACTCTATTGTGGTCAGCATTTTTAGAAACAGACTACTAGCATTAGTATGCTATGACATTGATTATTGTAATATGTTGATATGCAGGGACGGAGGGAGAGGGGGGGCAGGGGGGCGGCTGCCCCCCACCCCACCCCCACCCAATATATAGATTTGTATGTATATATGTATTTATAGTACATGTTTTACTATTAGTATAAAAAAAACTATAAAATGTCAACAAGAAGTGAGTTAGAGTAAGTGGTAGAGTACATCTTTGGTAATAATGAGGTTAAGGGTTCCAATCTTAGCATCAACATATTTTTACAATTCTTTTTTAATATTACACACACTCTCTCTATAATAAGATGTGTAATTTATAATGTGTTTTCTATTCAAATTATTTTATTAATTATGTTTCATATTTTGTTATGAATATTTTTATAAAGTTTCGATATGTTTTATTTTTCGTTCATATCCAACAATATTTACAATTATATTTCTTAGGTAGTTTATTTATAATGTGTTTTCTATTCAAATTATTTTATTAATTATGTTTCATATTTTGTTATGAATATTTTTATAAAGTTTCGATATGTTTTATGTTTCGTTCATATCCAACAATATTTACAATTATATTTCTTAGGTAGTTTATTTATTTATTTTTAAATTATCTCTTTTGTTTTAATGTTTCGCCTTTTCTGAAAAAAATTTCTGAATCTATCTGTACTGTTTCGCTCCCCCTCAACCGAATTTCTGGCTCCGTCCCTGTTGATATGTGATTTGATCTTTAATTTTGTGTATGTATATTTGTAACATTTTGTGTGTTGTTGTGTGTAGTCTTGAACTCTATTTTTTATATTTATGTTGGACTCTGATGCCCTTTATTGCCACAAAAGAACATAATGAATGGTGGTTACTATTTGATTGCTCGAAATTTTTAATGGGTAAGTAATTTTTTATTTTTATTTCCAACATTGCTTATCAAATCGCTATTGCACATCAATGATTTCCTCTGTGGTAATCGATGTAAGTCACTAATTTAGTTTCGTTGTTCGCTTATCTCTGTTTATTCGCGTTAAATATTTATTGTGGTAATAGGGATGCAAAATATCAACTTTAATAACCACATGTCCACATGTTTGTATATGGTTTAAAGACTGGAGCTTGCATTCAAGAGATAATCTTCTTTAATCAAGAAATATGTCTATTATGTACATAGATAATTCTTCTCATTGATTGAATTCTAATTTTCTAGAGGTTTAAATTTTGAATGTGGTATGACACATTTCAACACCATCGCATGTTATAAGAATCAATCAGGAGTGAACCATTTATTGAGGCGAATTTTACATACTAAATCAAAGGTACATTATTCTAAAAATTCTTAAATCCAAGGAGCATGAGTATGTGTGTACGTGTATACAGGTTTGCATCTATACTAGCATATTATGTTGGTTTCTATCATATATTTGTGCGACGACGGTGGTATATAATTTGTCTTACTTGGCTAGAGTCACGGCTGAAAATCTCGCTGCTTTCGTCTAACATTTCTGTTCGATCGAATAGTGGTCGGTATTTTAATAAAAATTTTAACTTTCTGTCGTTGAAGATGGGTGGACGAAAAGTTGATCGGAATTTCCGTCTAACACGCTAATAGTGGACGGAATTTCCGTCTAACATCCAACATTGGAAGGAAATTCTGTCCAATCTATAGTGTTGATTGGTAAACCAAATTGACTGATAGGTAGAAATTAAACATGATCAGTATTTTACAACTACAATGTTGGACGAAAATTTAAATATTTTAGCCTTTCTCTTCTTTTTCTCAGTTGAAGACTTCCCCTCTCGTCCAAGACTACCGCCAAATGGATGCGATCACCTGCAAGCCGGCAGCCACGACTGCTTCCAACGTCCAAGCTCAGCAGACCGTCGGTGGCTCCACAGATCGCGCGTGTGTTCAATTTCGCGGCGGATCTGCGGACTCTGCTCAACATCGCGGAGGATTACGCCGTGCCCTTCCTCTTCTCTTCTCTGGAAGCCGCAGCTGAGAGCTATGTTTATTTTTTATTTTTCAACTCTCCTCCTTCATTCTTTAGATCTGTACAAAAGGAGCACTTTTTCGGAGATTCCTGTTTCAGATCTACGCTGAGAATGGAGGAGATGAGGACAACCTGAGGATGGTCGCTGCTGTGCCGGTTAAATCTGTCTACTGTTTTTACTATCATTATTGTTCATGCATTCTTGTTTTGATAAATGTTTTTGAAAAACAGGGATTTTCCATGACAATGTGCCCAATTAAGTTTTGGAGTGATTGTGACTGTATGTGTCTTAATTTAAGATAGACCTAAATTTGTTTCAGTTGGTTCCGATGGTGAAAAATAGAGTAATTACAAGTAGCATTTTAATGAGAACCTTTCTTTGCACCACTCTTTGAACATGCTTGAATCCCTTACTTCTAGAATGTGATACAAAACAGTAGGTATTTTCATCCATGTTGCTATCTGTTAGTGGTTCTATGATGGTGATGAACTGATGATAAGGTAGTTGATTCATCCCGATAGAAATTTGATTCAATAAAACACTATTTCAGCAGGGAAGTGAAGCAGTTCAAGGTTTTGTGTCAAATATTATTGTCTAACTTTTAGACAGCTTAAATTTCTTGGGTGACAATTCCGTACATGAAATAAATGCTCTCCTGAAAGCATTATATATGCTTCTGTTGTGCAGAGAATCAACAACAAACATTTTCACCGAGATGACATGGGAAGGACATCGCTATAAGTGGAGTAACATCAGTCTGCTATGTTGTGTGCCTCACCCATGACTTATTCCTCGATATAATTGTTTTAATTTCTGGCATTACTTGTACAAACTGTATGTTTTCCCAATTTATGTTAATTAACTCAGAGATGAGTGTTTATGCTTACACACTTTAATGGGTCATTCTTGGATGAGTATTGGGTTGTTTGTTTTAACAGTGAAGGGAAAAAGAGAAGGAAGTGTGGAGTGAGGATCCAGGAGAAGAATTCATGGGAGAAAAATGAGGGAAAGACAACATTTACATGGTTGCTTTAGATTTTCATTGAAAGCTTTGAATTTGGAACAATGTATTCTTTTAAACATTCTCATTTTGTGTAGCTTTCTTACTTTCAATATTGGGTGTTTCTTGACATGACAGTATAAGGGCGATGTGGTGGATGGATTTTGAGCCTACATGTAGTCTCCATATTGGTTTGGAGGTATTCATATAAAACTTGGTTACTATCCCGGATGGAGGAAAAACCTCTGTTCAGGTATGTATCCAAAGACTTCTTCTTCATCTTTTCTTTAGGAAATGGAGTAATAAAAAGGGACTTTTGTATAATAAGCACACACTTCATGTCCCCATAGGTGATATCAAGCATAATAACTCCAGATAACAAGAAACTACTAAGTATGGCATAATAAAAATGCATGAAGAATTAACAACACAATTACATGTCTGAGATTAACTCACCAACACGCATAAGAGATGCTCTATTCTACATAATAGAGACATTCTGAACTAAATTATACTATTTTTTTAAAGTTGCATACCTCTCCTTAATGGTTAGATTTGGTACCATTAAAAGTCCCTCTTACTGCTTGCTAGGGTAGTAGATGCTTTTGAAGGTAAAACAGTTCCCTCAAGAATACCATGAGTTTGAAAGGTGATTGGTTTTGGTCAGAACATGAATATCCCTAATATATATGGGTGCTTTGATGGATGGTGGTGCATTTCCAGTTTAATTGATGAAATGTTTTATCTCAGCACTAGTAGAGATTTGACAATAAAAATCATACTATTAGCATCTGTTATTTGAAAAAGGACTACTAAAACTTGTAAGGGGGCAATTTTGTAATTTTCACATGACATATAGCAACTATTTATTAATACAACAGTTGCTAAAAGGTCAACCATACAATTTTCGCCTACGATAGGCGCCCGTTGTGGCGATAACAGTAGCCTGTTGTCTTAAAAAATAATAATAATTAATAATAATTATAAAGCCCTAGAGTTCCCTCCTCACAGACATTGATGATAGCTTATCCTCTCAGCCTTGCGCATCCTCCCCAAAAAACCCTAGTCCCTTACTCGTCTCTCTCCAGTCTCTTGGGTCTATCTGACGATACGAAGGCATGGACTGTTGACGACGACGGTGCCGTGAGTAGGGCGATGTTAGCAATGGCGACGTGAAGCAGAGGCGGCGTGAACAGATCTCTCTTTATCTTCCCATTGCCAGCCAACAAGTATTTTCTGTTCTCTTCTTCTTTTATTTTTCATTCTATTTCTCTTGAAGGAGATGCGCCAGGCAAATATCCATCCTCGCTCGGAGCACCAGCAAGCTCGAGAACGCCAAGCGGGAGATCTGGTTCGCCACCGGCCGCCAAGTCGCAGCTTTGAGCGCCGACGTGCCTTTAAGAAGGCCGTGGAGGAAGTTGGGCGGGTTGATGTTATGATGTGCAATCATGGAGTCTTCATACCGCGGGACTTGTATACGAAGGAGCTGGAGGAGGTCAATTGCTATCATGTCTTCTAAAGCCGGCCAGGTATAAGCATCTAATAGCTCTAGTTCCGGTTTGGCTTTTTACTGACTATGAAAGTATGGTTTAGACAATTTCATTTGTGTTCACTCTTGAGGCAAAGTTTTATGCTTTTGCGTCCAATTATAATATATTGAATGCATTTGTGCCAAAGTTAAAGTTGTTTTATGGACTCTAACTATAGCATATGAACTTAGTGCTATATGTTAATAGAGATGCTGAATTGGAAGTTAATATGCTTCTACGAGATCATAAATTTTGTCAATTCATTAATGAGAATCATTGTATTTGATGTGTTTGTGATCAATAGAGCTTTTAGATATTCTCTTGACAGAATTGATATATACTACACAGATTATTAGTTAATATATGCTTTAGAATTCTCTATGGTGGTGATGCATGCTTAGATCTGGTTATGCAGTCTTAATATCAACGGATGGGAATTTATGATAAGCCTTGGCTTCCTCGATGCTGCTTGGTATGTTTTTGTACACTAGAATTGTTTCCTGTCTTTTCCCTTTCATTAAATGGCAGTAATTCTTACTGATTGTGTTCAACTATTGATTCATTGTGTAGCGTATGAATTGCAAATGAAATTGGAAGAGGAGATGCTAAAGCGGCAAGATTCTCTATTAAAGTCCTCGTGTCCACTTCACTTATAATCTCCTGAATGCTCTATTAAAGTAATCTCTTGGATTCTTTGCTTAGTTTTTGGCAGAAAATCGGGTACTTACTAGCAATGAGTAGGAGGTTGCTTAGTTGTGCTAAATTATGGAATCTATTTGTTCTTAATGCAGGAATATAATGGGTAGCAGATTTTGAGAAACCCAAGGGTAACCCATCTGCATTTTTAAGGCCAGCCACAACTGTTTTATCTCCCTACTTAAAAGTGAGTCATATAAAATTAGCAAAAATTTTGCATTTTCCTAGATCATTCTAATTCATTCTTGTTTCAAATTTGTCAGAAGTTTTGTTGTCTCTATTCCAGGTATTTTATTTTATTGCTTCAATTTCATTATCCATAATCTATACCACATCCTCTAGCTGGTTATTTATTTCAGTTGTCTTAAACTGAACTTGGCTTGCAAGATTTATTTCAAGATGAATACTTGGTTTGCGAAGCATAGGTCAATTATTTTTCATAAATAAATATATCTATTAGTCATACAACTTGATATTATGCACATATTTATGAATTGAGCAAGTCTGAAATTTGTGAATAATTTGTTGATGCTATATCACCTGATGGTTTGATGATCCAATTCCTGAGCTGTTTCTATGAGGAATGTTCCTGTCAATGACGTGTGTGGCCTGTTGGATTATTCTTGGATATCCATCATATTTGAAAATATTCTATGCAGAATTTCTTTTATCAACATTGGTCCTAAACGATATCCTTTACAGTTGCTCTCTGTCTGAACTAGTGAACTGTGTTAATTAACCTTGAGTATGTGACTATGTGTCCCTGAATGACTCATGAGGAACAAAGTGATGCTCCTTCCAGCATTGGTGCAGCTAATTAATACTAACCATTGGTTTCTTTAGTACATTTAATGCCCACTGCAAATGACCACATACAGAAGAGAAACAAGATATTGACAAATTTTATGTGCTCAAAATCTGTAGTATATATCATGAGGACTAGCTCTTATAAACCCTTTACACTCGTCATTGTCAGGTGGACCCTTATTACTAGATATGTTTTGATCAATGAATCCCAAAAAGATTTTAAAACTCTTTTGTGGAGACCAAATAGTGGAAGGACACCCTTTGTCGCCTGCAAGTCAGTGGAGACCAAATGGTGAGTTATTCCCCATTTTGCTAGTTCCCTGTTATTGAGTTTGTTATTCTTCTAGTCCAGCAGTGCTAAGAATATCATATAAGTTGCATATATTTGTCAATATATAATAGGAAGCAACATGAAACTTTATATATTTGTGTATTGGATTTGTCTACCTATATAATGATGAAGCTAAGTTCTTGGTTTACTTAACTGAATTTTACATATTCGTCATCAGCTTCATTTGGGAGCTCATCCTTCACTCTATGGGATGCTACTGAAGGTATTTACTTATTCTCTTATTGTTTTTATAATTACCATTACTTTATGTCTCACAGCTATGGATCGGAGCATTCTTCTTTCTTTTTCCCGCCTGCAGATTGGGATGAAAAACCTGAGGTTAAGATCCTAGCTCCTCTCTTTGTTAGCATAATGGTGGTTATATTTTAGAATGATCATCATTCTTTAATAGATTTTGAATTTGAACCCTAATCATTTGCTGGCAGCTACTACTAAAGCAGAGTCTGAACTGTTGTCTACACATCCACTTTGAACTTCTCAGTCTTCTACCATGAAATTATGAATTCCTCTAAAGAGGTAGGTTATGGTCAAGAATTTGTACTCTTCCTCCTCTTGGGACTGTCACCTTGCAAAGCAGGCTGATGAAACCATTTGAGAGTTAGATAACTTAAATGAGGAGAGACGGAGAGCACATTCATGCAACTCCTAAGGGATAACCTTACATTATGGACTTCTGATGCTGTTGAGGATAGAGGAAATAATGTTTCTTGTGAGCATGCTGCTAGTTCTGGATTTTACCTGGACAAATTGTTTTGTCTTTTTTTTTTTTTTTTCATATGAATGATTATCTCTCGTAGTATTTTTAGGAGATGACTTTTTTTGCTTCATAATTTACTTGAGAATGATTGTTGTGGATGATTATTAATTAGAATATATTAGTATTCGATGTATGTATGAATATTATTATTGGATTGAATTGATTATTGCGGGTGAAATTGTGGATTATGTTGAATATGGTTAAAAGAGAAAACCTACGGTATTTAGAGCTGATAAAATTTTCACTGAAGAAACAAAAAAGAATAGGCGTCTGTTTTACAGACGCCTATTCTTATTTTTTAAAAAATTTGTTTACTATAGGCGCCTGTTCTTTGAAAAGAATAGACGCCTATAGTCTCTATTAGGCGACTACGAACAACAGACGCCTAAAGTCCGTACTATTAGCGTCTTGTTCATAGACACCTGTTGTAAAAGAGACGCGTTTTGCATTTTACAACAGACGCGAATGGCCTCTTTTGTACTAGTTCAGGTTGCTTATGATGATTTTGTTACTGGATCATTTGGAATTGCAAGAGAGAAAGGACTTGTAAGTTTGTTTTTCCAAGTGCTGTTTATATTTTCTGTATGGTTTTTGCATTTTGAAATCTATCGCGATCCATTTTTGGTGAAGGTCTACACTTGATCAAAGTCATTGAAGAAGAATGTTGTGGATGCTATATTGATCAAAACCATTGAAGTAGTGACGAATTTAAAGGCTTATTTGGGTGCAGGCGTTTAGCGAGCATACTTAAGTAGTATCAATTAAGTAGTATATATTTTCATGACTCTTTTATTATTTATGAATATGATCGTAATTTTGATGCTTAAATATATTTTCAATTTAAAATTTATTGTCCATTAATTTGTTGATGACATATAATTTATTTATAACACGTATAAATAAAATTAGGGTAATATAAATATAATAAACATTCCATATGATTTAGGATTTTCCTACCAACAGTTGGAAGGAAAATAACAAAATATAATATGTGAGTTTTCCGTCCAACATTGATCAAAATTTCTGACCAACGCAAGTAGTAGGACGGAAATTCCCACATTTAAAAAATGGTGGGTTACTCGCCGGAATTTCCGTCCAATTTTTGTTCGTTGGACGCTATCTCCGACTAAAAATTGTAGTTGGACAGAATTTCCCACGGAGGTTTTTCCGAACCTTCGTTTTGGTCAGTATGTTGGATGGAAACGTTGTTTCCGACCAATATATCGCGTTTTCTTGGATGGAAAACGCGAGATTTCCAGTCGTGAGTGTAGGTTGTATCTAGGTATTAGTCATAGAAATATAAATGCTAAGATTTCCATTATTTACATATTATCAGAAGAATTATTAACGACAAGAATAGCCTGAAAGATTCACAGGTGTCTTTAATACAAAGTCTCATTGTTACTAAGGAAGTAAAAGCATATCAAGATAAATGAGTTGGATAAATGATCTCACAAGCATATCAAGATAAATGTGTGTGTGTGTGTGTGTGTAAAATACTAGCATCCCTTATCCACATGAGTATTTTATAAAGTGTGAAGGAGAAATTTCTAAATTATTTGTTTTATTTTGGAGACATCCAATTTGATATACTACTACTTTTTATCCAAATCTTATTAGGACTAGTATTAAGATTCTTGAATTTGAGTCATAGTATGACTCCCTATTCTAGTCTCCCTATGATTCCTCTTGTATATATATTCTTCGTGTCTGTACAGTTGTAATCAAGTTCAGTCAATACAATTCAATACAGTTCTCATCTGGTATCAGTTAAGCTAGGGTTTTCTCTGGCTCAATGGCTACCGAATCTGTTCAATTATACGTTTGATTGGTATGGGTTTACTAATTCTATTTCTTATAGGACTAATGGTTTGGGGGTTCATGGTCTATGGTGGACTCTTCCTAATTAATTAATGGAATTCAATTCTCTTTTTAGGGTAAGTAATTAAATAATAAATTGGTTTAGAGGTCGTAACACGGGGTGTTACACCGGCTGCCTGTTGAGGCCGTCCAGCCCGTCAAACACCCACGTGGGTGTCCTCGCGGGAAAACAATCAAGTCCACCGTTCGGACCCGTGAGATGCACATTCGGAGTCGATCTCGGGCTCCACCTTCTATTTTAACAGTTCAGGTTTGTCTTTCGGGTCCCACTTGTTACACATAGGTTTAAAAACATTCAGAATGGCGAGAGGCTATGGATCAGGAATTTAATGCCCTACTACAAAATCAGACATAGCAACTTGTGCCATCTCAGTCAAACATGAACATCATTGGCTGTAAATGTGTTTTTCGTACAAAATGGAAAGCTGATGGTTCCATTGAGAGGCATAAGGCAAGACTTATAGCAAAAAGGTTTAATCAAGTGCCAGGTCAGGATTTCTTTGATATTTTTAGCCCAGTGGTTAAACCAACCACAGTCAGGTTTCTTCTTTCTCTTGCTTTATCTTCTGGGTGGACTATTAAGCAATTGGATGTTCATAATGCTTTCGTGAACAATTATCTCTCTGAAACTGTGTATATGAAGCAATTGCCTGGATATATTGATGCTTCCTATCCAAATCACGTATGCCTGCTAAAAAGGTCTCTTTATGGATTAAACAGGCTCCCCGAGCTTGGTTTAATCGTTTGCACACCTTTTTACTATCTATTGGGTTTTAGGCATCCAAAACGGATGTGTCTCTTTTTTATTACTCACACAGATCTGATTGTGTATATTTACTTTTTTATGTGGATGTCATTCTTATGATGGGAAGCGATACGAATCTAGTTCTTCAATTAGTTTCAAAACTCTCTACTGCATTTAAAATCAGGAATCTTGGTGAACCAGGTTTTTTTCTTGGAATTGAGGCTATTAAATACAATGATGGGATTTTACTTTGCCAACAGAGATACATGTGAATAATGTTATTATTTAATATGTTATTTTCTATAATGTAATAGGATTAGTTTATGTGGTGCTAGTTGTTTGACTTAGACTAGCCTAGTATGTAGGAGAACTTTACGTTATCTCTACCTCTTTACTATTATAATCCTATCTGATGAATACAATTTGAATTTCCTCTTCTCATCTGGTATCATTTAGCCTTACGTTAGATCCTCCTTTTTTCCCTCCCACCTCCTAAAATGTCTACCAACTCATCGGAAAGAACCGTAACCACCACCACCCCTTCCTCGGCCGCCACTTCCAACCCCCTCTCGTCGGCACACCACTTTGTGTCGATCAAGCTTACGTCCCGGAATTTCTTATTCTGGCGTACGCAGTTGGTGCCCTTTTTACGTGGTCAGGAGCTCCTTGGGTTCGTCACCGGTGAGACACCGTGCCCGCCGGCCACCATCTCCGGCACGTCGTCCGGTTCCGTCTCCGGCGATGCAGCGGCGGTTTCGGCTCCAAATCCGGAGTTCCCGTCATGGGTAAAGCAGGATGCGTCGATACTGTCTCTCCTCGTCTCCTCCATGGCTGACGAGGTTCTTCATCTAGCCGTTGGCAGGAACACATCGAAAGAAGTATGGGACTCCATCACTGCCGCACTCGGGTCCAGCACGAGGGCTCGCTGCCTCAACCTGCTCGGACAGCTCCAGTCTTTGCGACAGGGTGATCTATCTCCGGCGGATTACATTGGCCAGGCGCAGTTGATAGTGGAGGCTCTCTCCCTCGCCGGCCGGCCTCTCTCTCTCGACGAGCAGAACCTCTGGGTGTTCCGGGGTCTCCGCCCGGAGTTCCGAAGCATGGCCTCCTCCCTCACCGTCTCCGGCAATCCGGTATCTCTCACTCAATTGGCAGATTTTTTACAGGCCCAGGAGTTTATTTACTCCGATGATGTTCCGGCTGGTCTCAGCAGTGCTTCCAGTAGCTCTCTGGCGGCGCTCCACATCAACAGAGGCGGCAACCAGTCCAGAGGCCGCTCAGGTGGCCGTCGCGGCAATTCCGGCCAGGGGCGAGGAAACCGTGGCGGTCAGTGGCGCGGAGGACGCGGCGGTGGGCGTGGTGGCGGACAGCCACGCTGTCAAATCTGTCGTGCTCATGGCCATTCCGCCATCTACTGCAACAAGCGCTACTCAACTCAGCCGCCGCAAGCCAATTTGACGGTCACCGGCGAAGAAACGGCGTCCTCGGCCGGTTCATGGTTCCCGGACACCGGCGCGTCTGCCCACACGACACCGGATGCGTCCATGCTGTCCCAATCCTCCGAGTATAATGGTGGTGATGTTCTTCGTGTCGGAAATGGTTCAGGTTTGCTTATTTCACATGTTGGGTCCGCGTCTATTCCTTCTGTGTCGAAAATATTAAAATTGTCCGATGTGTTACATGTGCCTAGCCTATCTGTGCCATTATTATCTGTCCAGAAGTTCGCTAATGAAAATAATGTATTTTTCGAGTTTCATAAACACTGTTTCTTTGTGAAGGATTCGACCACTCGGGCAATCTTGCTTAAAGGGCCTGCATCGGGAGGGCTATACAAGCTTCCGCTACAAAATTCACATTTCGCGTTTCTAAGTTCCCGCACAACTCCGGTCATGTGGAATCGTCGTTTGGGCCACCCTCACAGTCAACTCCTACATAAAGTCTTGAAAGAGTGTCCTGTCACAAGCAATAAAATCGAGTCCATGAAGCCGTGTGCAGCATGTCATTTGGGAAAATCGTCCCGATTTCCATTAGAAAGAGTAGCTAATTCTAGCAAACATGTATTAGATTTACTATTTACGGACATATGGGGTCCGGCACCGGTTTTTTCAAGCACTGGCTTTAAATATTTTGTGCTTTTCGTTGATGATTGTACTCGTTTCTGCTGGTTTTATCCCTTACGGGTAAAATCAGACATTTATAAAGTATTTGAGTCGTTTCGGGTCATGGTAGAACGCCAGTTTGAGCGTTCTATCAAGTCTATTCAATCGGACTTAGGAAAGGAATATCAAAAGTTACACAAAACCTTTGAATCCCTCGGGATTAATCACAGGCAGTCGTGTGCATACACACACGAGCAAAATGGCAAGGTTGAGCGCCGGAACAGACACATAGTCGAAACCGGTTTAGCCTTGTTAGCCGAGGGGTCGGTCCCTATGCAATACTGGGACTACGCGTTTGAAACAGCGACGTGTCTTATTAATTATCTACCCTCCTCGGCTTTACAATTTGAAAGCCCATATTATCGTCTCTACAAAGTGTCACCCCC